GATGGCAGGGAAGGTAAATGGGGTGGGGTCCACGGCAGCTGCCCCACCTCAGGGTATGCCAACCCTGGCCCTGTTGTAGCCCACCCCGAGATACCCTCACATGATAACTGGCCAGAAGGCAAAATAAACTATGGGAATACTTTGTACATAGCTTTGTACATAGTTAAAGAATACTGCAATAGGAAATGTAGACGTTAAACAGCAATTATTTCATGCGGTTTGGTTTCCCATCTTAGAGTACTTAGAAGGTAGTGGTATTGTTCCCAAAAAATCCTTTTTATAAAATGTTATATTTTTAAAGAGAAACCCTGTATAATGCCTGTAGCACAACGGTCTATTATATGAAAGAATAATGTAAGATGACTGATGTACACTGGTTATCCTATGTATTCTCTCTGTTGTTATGTGTTGTTTTTTGTTGGTTTGGAAATATTGAATAAACTTTAATTTTTTTAAAAAAAAACCTGGCTAGAAGGCAGAAAAAAAGTTATATCAGTGAAAAATGGCCAGCTGGCAACCCTGAGAACAAGATCCACAAAGCAGATTGTGGTTTGGATGCACTGCCTCTGAAGCCCCCCGCACTCTCCTGCTGCAAAGCCTGACATGACACCTCAAAGAGAGCACCGTGGACACTGTCTTTGAGCAAGCTTGCAACTTTATTTGCATAATCTGTTTACAGAATTATCACAGTCTGTGGCCTTTCTTACTCTGCTCAGGTCCCACTGAAGACAAACAGAAATGCTGTGTTGCCTTTGCCTAGTTCTTGGCTCCTCCCAGGAACTACAACACAACCATTCCTTTCCATATTGCTACGATGATGATAACACATTTCCTGCAATTAAATCCCACTGAAATCAATATAACTGATTATATTATATATATTATATTATATATTATATTATATAACCGTCCCCCTCAACAAACAAACTTAGAACCACACTACTAATGTGAGCAGTTGACCATTTATTTAATGGACTGGGCCAGAGTTTGCAATACAGTGGACACAGAATCACTAGACCCACAAAGATCAGAAAGGGATCAGAAGCACCATGGCACTCTAAATCTGCTGAGTAGGTTTAGTAAGCAACCACCACCTTCAAGTATACAGGGTCTGGGTGAAAGTCGGATCTAAATGGTTCTGTGCTTCAGCCCCAAACTGCCTTGTCTGATCGTTACCAGAGAGGAAGAGATTTGACATGCACACAAACATTCTGCTACCTGTAGATTTGACACTCATGTCACAAGATTGGCAAAGGCAAATGTGATGGACAGCAAGGAATTGCAGACTTTTAGGCAATGCTGCTGGGAAAAGGGTAAGCGAGCTGAAAAATGATTGATTGGGTGAAGGCAGCTTACTGTGGAATTGGGGTGGATCAGTTTGGATTAGTTGGAGTCAATGCTCCCTCTAAGCTGTGGAGTCTTGTGAGCAAAAATTCTACTTTGTGAGCTGCTGGCATTAAAGCTGTGAGTGAGCAATTTGGCTACTGCATAAATTAGTTTGTTCTGGGGCCATCCTTCCTGAGCTAAGACAAAAATATGTGAGCTGGAGGCTAAAAAACTGTGAGCTAGCTCACACTAACTCAGCTTAGAGGGAACACTGGTTGGAGTGGATCAGCTGGAGTTGGAGTTAGGGAGGAGAGTGAACTGAAAACTCCTCTTGAGAGACTCCAAAGAGAAAAGGGTCTGATAAGCCCTGTATGGAGCAGAGTGAGTGTGTTGTGGCCGCTG